ATCCTTTCTTCTTATAGCCCATCCATTATCTGCCTTTGAGAAATCTTTTCTTAAACATCCTTTACCAATTCCCAACTACCATTTTGTCTCTTCCCCAAACTCCCTCCATGTCTCGTCTATACTTATCCATCAGAAAACACCTTATGTCATGCCTCCCTTTCAAAGTACTGTCCCATGCACAGTTATTCTCTTTCAGTTCCACACATTCTGTTCTCCTGTCCACGCTATGCTGCAGCCCGCACCTCTGCTTCTCCCCACCTATCCTCCCTTCACCGACCTCCCAACCTATCAGACATCCTCACAGAATCCCACTTTTTGCTTTAACAACCTGTTCTCCCTCCTCAGACGCATACATATCCCTCACTTGATCTAATCCCCTTACCTAACCCCACCGTAACTAATTCAGTCAACTCCTTTATCCTCTCTTTAACCTTGTCAATATTGCTCTAGTTCGTTGACGCATAGCAACTAACTACCAACTCAACCACCTTTCACTAACCTTTACTGTACTTTCCTATGGTGGTACATGACCCGAGATGTCAAGCGCATTTATTCTGCTCTGAACCATTAACCATTCTATGAAGAGTTGTGATTTAAACTTGAATTTTTATGAATTCGAAAGAAAATCATATATGTTGTATCTCTGTAAAACCTCCAACAAAGTGTCAAATACATGTTGCTAAGTGTTGTAAGATTAGAGTAGACTGTTGTAGCGCAAGACCCCTTAAGTGAAGAGCTCAAGGAAAGCAAGTAGTTGACTGCTGTGTATTCATCTCCTTCGTTTATTCTCTCTCATCGACTTCAAACACTTCTGGGTTGCAGGTCAGTGTAGCAGTAATTACTAGTTTTGCAAGTATCACTAGAAAGTTAGCTGTTGCACTGTTATAAGAGACTGATGGACGTGAAATACTATGAAGATAATGCAATTTAAGATCGTTAAGGGACCATCTTGGAACAAGATATACCATGAAATTCCCGATATGTAAAACACATTGATATGAGAAAAGATAGATCACAAGTGAATGACATGTATAAAGTTAAATTAGGAATTAAATTAAATATACTATAAAGGGGATAAATATCGACTAAGATACAAAAAAAAAAAAAAAAATGCAACTTCATGACAACAGAAACGGGAAACTATGATGATTGACGCCTGGTTAGTTCACCTTAGAAACAAATAATCCACAATCATTCACCACACAAATTTCCAAGGCAGTGAATCTTAGCACAAAAACTGCAAAGCACACTCCGGCAATGCAAATAGAGTCCAACTTCCCAATATCAAATGCAAGACTTTCGGACATGCCTCCATACGTTAGCCAGAACCTCCCATAACTCATTTTTACTGCCAAAGAAGTCACAGTTGCCAGAAGAAAAAGACATATTACTTTGGGCTTCATTCATCACCGGTTTTAATGCCCGGTCGAAGGTCATTACAACTGAAGGAAGCGAGATCTGAGCCGCTCTCATGCGATATTTCATGACTTATGCGTCAGAAGTCCTTCCCGTCGCCCCAGAGATGACGAGTAAACAAAACCTAGAGACCGACAGAGGCGCTGACGTCGGCGCAGCGCAGTTGCCTCGGGGCTCCGGCGGCACGGGAGCGCTCGCGGCACCTCTGGCTCCAGGTGAGACTGACTCGGTTTGTTTAAATAAACCTGAAATTCGGTTATCTAGGACCATATCTTCTCCATCGTCATTTTTTCAGTATTATTTAAGGAATGTTATTTTCCGTAGGCTGTATTGTCAACTGTTAACAACTGCATCCTTTAAAAACCTCTACTTTATTGAATGAGGATTGTCGGACACAAAACTGGAAATGTGTGGCTAGATACTAATACTAATATTAAATACTAATCTAAAATGAATTATAAACACTGCTATAACTGTTGTGGCCCCTATTCTACAACATTTCATCAAATGCTCTTCAGTATCAAGACTTATTATGTTAGATTAATAGATGTTTAATTGTTTTCAATAATTATGGTGTACTTTGAATAACTTATAAATGTATTTCAAAGTGACACTATTCATTCTATTAATTTGTGTAATTCAAGGATTGAGTTAAATCTTTATGGAAATCAGTAAATTTATTAATTAATAATTCATTATCAGTGTAATGTAATAAAATCACAATATCAAAGATTATACCAAACAAAAACATGCAAGACATTATTTAGGATTTTGACACTATACATACAACTAGACAGTTATGGCTCAGTTATATAATCAGTCATGAAACAATAAAACAAAATCAATAACATTCAAAATTACGTTATATCTTAATGAGCCAAAATATATCAAAACAAAATAGCAATGATTATGAAAGCAATTAATTACTTTATATCTCATAGGTTAACAAATCAATTAGATATTACACAAAAGAATAATGATCACAAGAGAAGCAAATACTTAAAGTAAATAGACATGCCCTGTAAATTGAATATTATAAAAAAAAAAGTTAATTACAATAAGCACAAACTAACGTATTTCTTCGTTATTACATTAATCAACCATCAAGCAAGTAAGATTAATAATCATGACAAAATCTAATTGATACACAAAAAGTCAATCTTACTCTCTGACGGACAACAACAGAACACGACCTGCACACTTCTGCTGAGCTAACCTGAGCTAACCATCTTAGAAAACGCTTATTTGGGTACACTTACCTATATATTTCCATTAACTGTTAATAATGATACATATGATACAATATTGCCACATTAAATTATTAAATTTGATAGTCAAGTTATTTCATTATCTGTTTATAACAATTTGCACTCTTCCTAACCCTAACAGTGTTTCAGAATAACTCTCCCGTGTTACTGTTTCCCATTCGTAATTCCCGTGCACTTTGTTCCATCGCGATAGTACACTAAATTACTTCAAACATGCTTACCCGGGATAGCCACCAAAAGGAACATGGCTCCTGGACGCTACTCAGAAACCTACGGCCGGTTTGTTAGAAGTGTGCCAGGCCCGACCCAATGAATTTTCATAAATACAGATGCAGGAATAAAGGCATGTCTGTCTATCTATCTGACAGATACACATTTAACCATCTGTTTACCGGGTGGATATGCATGTCCCGACTGATGAATATGCATTTATTTCTTTATTTATGCATGTTTAGTATACGAATATTCTTTGGGTCGGGCCTCGCACAATTTTAAAAACCGGGCCGCTAGTCCACAGTTTCCGTCGCTGAGTATCCTTTTATTTTCGATGTGGGGCTCATCCGGTCACGCCCTATGCTGTTGTCACTTGTCCATTCCTTATAGTTGGAAAGATACATGCATCAGGACTTTCCCGTGTCTCAGTAAATATTTAACTCATTACTTTTCATTTTTTTTTCTACCTGCCATCCGACTTAATTTCATGTTCGCAGACTGATGCACTTTAATCTACATTGCGATCGATTGGCACAGCTTATTTTTTCGCGCTCGTGCTTTCTTTTTTGTTTTTTGTTGGTCCATCACGTGGTGTCACCCTTTGCCACATGATGTTTTCCCCACTTCGGGTCATATTTTTTTTTGTAACTGCCGCCATTCCCATCGACCGTTTCCCGACTTGGGTCATGGAACTCTAACTTTTTGTAACTGCCGCCTTTCCCGTCGACTGTTCGAGTCCTCGTGATGTTATTCTAATTTTTACGTCTCATCCCAGCTTGTTTGTTTCGCCTGTCCAGATGGCATCCGTTTTGCCCACTTGGTCACGTGATGATGTTTGATACCTTCGTGGTCTAAACAAAACACCGTAACTGTATTTGCTTCAGGTTATTAGATACTAGACACTAGCTGCTGGGAGGATTGTTTTATTGTTTCCAGGATCATTATTTTCATTTCATTCTTTAAAAATCTTCCTAAAATGATTTGATTATTGGCTTTGGATGCACACACAATTCCCTTTGCATTTGTTCGGCATGAATCCCCTCCTCCCATATATATATATATATATATATATATATATATATATATATATATATATATATATATATATATATAATAGATATAGTGTGTGATGTGTTGTGTGTGTGTGTGTGTGTGTGTGTGTGTGTGTGTGTAAAATTACCAGTGATATTAGAACATATTTTTTAAAACATTTATTTCTTATCTTTAATTACAGATAGTAGTTATCTTCTCTTGGCTTTGGCTTGCGCTACATCAACATGAGTAAGGTGAGTGGCAAGCGGAAACGACGCTTTCGAACGTTCTTCAACTACGGCTTGTGAAGCTAGTTGTTTATCTCAGTGATTTATATCGTATAGCTTTGTGTGGTCTATGGTAACTAGATTTTGGTTTATTTTCGTCTTAGTCTTCAGTCTCTCTCTCTCTCTCTCTCT